TGATTTCTTTTTTTATGGCATTAGAGATAGCTTAACTTATGGTATTTAGATGCTTCAATTATTTTTAAAGGTTATTTATTATGCATTCTTATTTGATTTTTTATTGCATACTTAATGATGGTTCATAGCACTTAATTCTTTATGTACGAAAATTTTAATTTGTACAATATAAGAGAGCAAATAGAAGCAAGAAGAAGCATTATACACAAATAATGTCTAATATGACAAATATAAGCAATTTCAAGTCTTGGAATACTATGCATTTGGTTGATGCTTCATAGTTGTGTAGATAAATTAAGAACATGTAATTGAGATATGTATGGCATTGGAAAAATATTCCTATGGAAGTTCAAAAGTCTTTTTGAAGTTTTTGTTCTTATAGAAATGCATCAAAAATATATGTAAGTATGCTTATTAAAGCTGCAATTGCTTGCAATATTTCTTTGTAATATAACAAGATACTTTTGTGTTATTTATGTTTTATTGCAACATCTTGCTCTAAAAGAAGATCTATAGTAGAAGCCATACTTTTAAGGTCTATGTATTATTAGATAAATAAGCACATAGGTATTATAGATAGATATATTTATCTAAATTAAAAGAATTAAATTAAAATAAGTAAAAATAAATAAATTTTATAATATCTTATAAAGAAGCTTCATAGATATAGATTGGAATTTTTATGTATTTGTAGATAATTTTTTGGTTGAAAACTTAGCCAAAAAGTTAAGCATGTATTACACATATTAGTGACTTGTGGTACAAATTGGCCATGTGGCACAAATATAGGAAACTTATCTTGTAATTTAGGCATATATCAAAAGTCCTATTGAACATTGCTATACAACTCTTAGTAAAATATTATATATGAAAGCAAGAGTAAGGTCTTCTTCACTCTTATTGATACCTATTTTTATTCTTTTTTTTTTCAAGAGCTTCTAGTCTTCTTTTCTTTAATAATAGCCATTATAGTTCTAATATTATATTATCTTTGAATAAATACTTATTTTTTTCAAGTAACATAAGAATGTATATCTTTTTATTCTTTGTAATTCATAACTTTGACAGTTTGATAAAAGTGTTAATTTACTACTTTTTTTGTTTTAGAAGTAAGTAGATTACTTCATTTTTTTGTTGTATTTTAAATATTATAAAATATCCATCTTTAAATCATTTTTTTTATTTATATTGTCTTTTTTTTTTAAAATGATTGTTTGTCTTTGTAAAAAAATTATTTGATATTAGAGGTTGAAAAATATCCTTGTCTAATTTGACTTGAAGATTTGTTAAATTTGTTTAACATAAATATGAAGAGAAAAATTATAGATGCCATATTTAGCAAAATTAAGATAAGTTTTGTAATTATTGTAGATCTTTATAAGCTTGTCAAAACTCTTAAGGTCAAAATTTTATATATTGCCAATCTCAACCATAGATGTATTATTTCAATGCCTATAGAAGAAGTTAGCAATAAGATTTAAAGTATGTAATAAAAAGTTGTGTAATTGAAAGAAGAAAATAGATCAATGTCATAACTTAATCTAAAAAGTCTTGCTACTATAAGTATAAGTGAAGCTAGTATTAATATAATTAAAAATTTTAATGAAACAAGATCAAATTTTTTATAATAAGTCAAGATATATCTAAGATTACAATCTTTTCAATATCACAATGAATTTACTCAAATTAGATTTATAACCATATCTCTATTAGATTGTACTCTTTTTTCATTTGTTTCTTTAATAGAAAAGTATATACAAATTTTGTATAACTTAAATTTATTTTTAAAAGTATTTAAAGTTACATTTAGAAAAAAAAAATGATTGAAAAAAGATAATAAAGACAAAAATCCTATCTTTACAAGAAATATCATGATTTGCTATCATATACACTATTAAATTCCAAAACCTTACTTACAACATAGATTAGAATAATAAAGGCTTTATCAATAAATTTTGATATAGATTAAAGGATAATAATAAAGACTTATTATTGACAATGTTGAAAGTAAATTTATTAGAATAATTTATATCTCAAGCCATTGCAAGCAATAATTAAAATTTTGAAAGATGCCAAGAATAAAGATTTGGTTAGAAAAGAATATTTTAAGTCATGAAAATAATTCCTAAATTTTCAAAAACTTATTTATTAAAGCTTGAGCATATATAAATTAATATGGTATATTTTAAATCTCTCATTAAGAAGAAAAAAAATTCAATGTTAATAAGAAGGATTGTACTTATATTATGGAGAATCTAAGCACATTGCTCAATATTATCAAAGAAATAATACAATCATGAAATCAAGAGCATGGTTGTCAAAAAAAATAATGTGTTGAAAAATAAGTTTTTTCAATTATAATAAGGACCACATAGCTAGAATCTTGTACAATACTTAATAAAGGTCTTATTTTCTCTTCAACTCCCACACCTAACTTTATAATAGATCTTTTTTTATAACCAAAAAATTACAAAGGCTTTGTCTTATTACATTCAAGAGCCTTAACTTGTTTCATAGAGAAATATTTTGTTAAAAAATAGAAAATAACTTTAGTTAAAGAAACTAAGCTTGTGCATATAAAAGTCATAGACGGTCATTTGTTGTTTTTACAAGATGTTATTTATAAAAATATTTTTATAGATATAGAAACTAATAATCATAATAGCTTAATAATATTTTAGATCTATTATAGCTAAAAAAGTGTAATAATAAAATAGATTAGATTTCTTGTAATCTTAATTTTTTTAATAGTAGAATAGACTTTTATTATCAAGATAGAAAATTATAAATTTAATTAAATCAAACTCTTATAGATAGGTTCAAGAGCTTTCATATATATTATAAAAAAATGGTCATCTTTTGTTATTTATATTACATCCATTTCTTATGATAAAAAGATTTTAAGAAACATTTTGAGTTAACATAAGAATTATTAAGACGTTTTTAAGAAAACAAAATGTAAATATTTTTTTAATATATTATACTTTAGATTTCTTAATTGATCTTATAGAAAGAATTCAATTGCCATTTTGATAAATCTATAACTTATTACTAAACAAGTTGGCTATATTCAAAGTTTATATTGATAAAAACTTGGCTAAGAATTTTATAACCTATTTGAAATCTTTAGCAAGAAATTTTATTTTATATGAAAAAAAAATAAAAAATCTCTATAGATTTGTAAAAATTATCAATGACTCAATGAAATCACCATCAAAAATAGATATTCTTTATATTTTATATTATAATTTTTTGATCAATTAAATCAAGTCAAGATCTATAAAAAAAAATATATCTAAGAGAAGTCTACAATTTGGTACATATCAAATAAAGAGATAAATAGAAGATTATATTTTAAACTATGTGTGGACATTTCAAATATAATGTCATGCCTTTCGAATTCACAAATGCAGTAGTTGATTTATAACGATTAATAAATGGTTTTTTTTATAGAATTATCAAATAATTTTTTTATTTGATATCTAAAAAATATTTTAATTTACTCCAAAAATATAGAAGAGCATAAATTTTATATTTTTTATATATTAAAAGAACTTCAAGATATAGAATTATATGCAAAGATAGAAAAGTAAATATTTCATACAACTAAAGTTGATTCTTTAGGATACATCATTTCAAATAATGATCTTACGATAGATCTTTAAAAAAAAATTAACTATCATAGGTTAGAAGATTTTAGGATTAGTCACAAATGTCTAATTTTTAATTTTTTTTTAAATTATTATTAAATCATTATAAAGATTTTTTTTTAATTTATAGATTTATTTACATTTTAACTTTTAAAGACAAACTTGAATGGAATAAAGAAGTTAAAGCACCATTTGAACCTTTAAAGATAACTGTTAATTTTGCATCAATATTATGTTGCATTGATGTTTCTAACGTATTTTTTTATGGAAAAAAACAAATAATACTTTGCCTTAAGTGTAATATTGTCACAAATGTGAATAATTGACAAACTTCATCTAATAGCTTTTCATTCAAGAAATATTTTAGCAATTGAGATTAATTAAAAAAAAATTATAATAAAGAACTTCTTGTAATTATGGATTCATTTCAAGAATGATACTATTATTTAGAATATGCTTCTAGTCTAATGATTATTTATACAGATGACAAGATCCTCAAGTATTTTATATTAGCACATGCTTAAAGTGTTGCCAAGTCCATTGGAGCATGTATTTGTCAAGACTTGAATTCGTAATCACTTCTCAATTAGAAAAAAAAATAAGATTAGTTAAATGTCTTTTTTAGACATTCTTATTTTGCATCAAAAAAAGTAATGGAGTTTTTGATTAATAATAAACTATATTTTTAAAGTCAAAGAAATTTTATCTTTAAATAATGAGATTAATATGGATTATTGATTCAAAATTTATCAAGCAAGTTCAATCAAGTATATCTTTTGATCCTCTTATTCATGATATTAAGAACAATATATTATGATACTTCTAAGTTTTAATTCAAAAAAAATCTTCTATATTTTAAGAGATGCTAATATATTCCAAAAGATGAAGTATAATTATGTATTCTTCAAACTCGTAACAATTTTCTAACTACAAGAAATTTTAGATACAACAAGATCTTTAAGTCATGCAAGCTATTAAAAACTTTATACAATCACGTGGTGTTTGTATAAGATCAAAAACTCCTTGTCATTGACCTTATGAACTTAGATAATTGAAATATTGAGTTAGTATTATAGAATGGACTTAATAAAGACAAAAAAAATATCATATAATAGAAATTATTGAGTTCTAAAAGGATTATTGTATATTTTAATTTTAATTAGAAGTATATTATTTTTAAAATATCAAATACAAAGAATAAATTTTCTAATTTACATGATAATTAAGGTTTAAATTAAAATAAAATATCTAATGGATTTTCTATTTTATTGAAAAATTGGATAAATTACAAAATAGGATGGAGTTGGGTCCATTGCTCCGTTGCCTTCATTCCATATATGGATGGACACATATGGATGAGGGGAGATGGATGACGTGAAATACGAATGTGGTTCATCCATCCAAATGCGTCATAGACGCCTTGAAGAAACCCTAAATGGCCGCCAGCACTCTGCGGTTATCCATCGTTGTGTGCTGCTGCTGCTGTTCTTAGCGATCGAAAAGTCTTGTGCAGTTGAACGATCGAAGCAAACAGACATGGCGAAGGTGGAGCCGGTCGGAGGGAAGAAGCTGATCAAGGAGTGGCCGACATGGATCCTGAAGAAGGCAAAGACGGTGACTCACTACGGGTTCATTCCGCTTATCATTTTCATTGGCATGAACACGGAGCCCAAACCCCAGCTTTCGCAGCTCTTGAGCCCTGTCTGAGGGTCGCCGATGCTGCCTTGAGTTGTAATGAAAGCCATGAATAGAACACATTTTTTATGATTGAGCACTGTCGCTTTTCCTCTCATCAGTTCGTTATAGTTAGGTTGGTGGGTGTGTTCTAACTGCGGAGTGCAATCGAGCTAATCTTTCGGGATTGAAATTCAAACTTTTTTATGATAGGCAAGGAAATTTGTGTCTCCGAAATGATATGTATACTTTGGAGTATTTTGAAGAGCTTTTGAGGGTCTTCGGGATTTATGTCTGAGTGTGATTCCATGTTATTGATCCCAAGCATTGTGCGATTATTTATTGTTTATTTGCGATTGACGTATTGATACTAGGTTTGTGCCTAATGTTGTCTTTTCAATTCATTTGCGCCTCGCCATCACATACCCTCTTTTCACCTTTACAACGAAGAGGCTGGCAGAAACATCACGAGGTTTTACACAATTATTTAGTCCCTCTGATGAAGTTGTTCCTTTATGCTCATAATTGAAGTGATATTTATTTGGGCTTGTTATTGGCATTCTCTCCACGAATGATTGTGTCGATTCTTTTGCTTATCTGTTCTGCTAATTAAGTTGATCAATCAGGCTCGGCTTTGCACACAAGAACCACCAGTTGCAAGCAGTGGCCTTTGTTTCATGCCAAGTTAATGTGTTACATTGTTCTAATCTTAACCAAAATCAGGTTTTTCATGTCGGTGAACAAATTACTGTTCTTCGTGAAAGTATCTTGCTATTCGAGATTTGTTGCACGCAAAGCAGATAAACCCTCTAAACTGCAGTAGGAGCTTTTTGTCGAGGCAGGTGCTGTTCGAGCGTTCGGTATTCGATTCGAACGTTGAGCTTAACGTCGGAGAGTTTTATAAGAATGTGTATGCTTTGTTCGTACACAGACTGCCTTGATCGCTGTGCATATAATTTACGAAACTCAAAATACGTACATATTATTCACACAACTGAGGGTTATGTAGTTCTACAAAATGCATGGGAGAGTGGATATGAAAATCCTTGATAGAGATAAATTTGTGGAATTGTTTTCCACGCATGCATTTGCAACCAATGAAGCTTGTTGTGTTAACCTGTGCGTAGTGTGCGAGCTTCGGATCCTTTCCTGCTGCGAGGGCAAGTGGTTCTTGCAGCTCTTACTACAACTGTTGCAAGGTCACCATCTAGTGTTTGAATCCATCCTAGCACAGACGTTACTGCACTGTGCATGACGCAAGTTTTTGACTGCTTAGTTGTATACAACAACACGCATGTACAAGTCAGTTTAGTAAATAGACATATTCCATTCTGCATTGTATATCAAGTTAGAGTGCTAAATGCTCTTTTGTTTATTAATATGTTAGTAATTCTTTTCAGCTGTTTCAAGTAGATTCCAAAATGCTCGTTATGATTTGACGCTACTGGTACTAATACTGTATTTTTGAGCACATGTGAACGCAACATGTACAGTGCAATTCCCATGAGCTTTGTTAGGTGGGCAAGCTAACCAGCGCTTTTGTGTCTACTCAACACCCAATTGGATTAAGCTTTACCAGGCCGATGCAAACCTTATGCAAGCACTATGCAGGTGATGTGAAGTTCGTTCATGCCTGGGATTCAAAAGGGTCTTGGAATAGAATCTCAAGGGTAGATTTCTTGTTGGGTTTGAGAATATTAGGGAACAATTCTGATACTAGAGAATGCCACGACATTGTAGAGTATACTTTCAAAATATTTCCCCAGTTTGCAAGAAATCCTTGCTGCCTTTTGCGTCTGTCCTGAGTTGAATTTCGCAATAAATAAATCATGGAATCAAAAGATTGTGGATGCAATGAACAACCATGAAAATGACATTCATGTATGTGTATTTGTGTATACATATATTTGAAAATCAATCTTTTGAGTGTCAATCATACTCTAAATAATTAAGTAAATTTTATTATTCAACAAAAATATGAACAGTAAGTAATATGAATATAGTCAAAACATATAACTAACATTTTTTAGGATTTAACTATATGAATTTTTCATCTAAGAAAAAAAATAGGCATAATACACAAATTTGCAAAAACATTACAGTTTATGATTTCATTTTCTTTGATTTTTTTATTCTTACTTACTTAAATTCTATGTAATAACTCCAACCAAAATTATGTTTAATATATCAGCAATTATCCTTGTAACTTTGACACAAAAGAACTTAGTTGTAAAGCAATTATGGCAGCTCAGCAGACAAAGGTGGGGTGGGGGAGTGAGAGCAGTGATGGGAGCAATTACCATGTACCATAGAACTCAATCACTTCATATAGACTATGCATGCATAACTACCAAGGATGCTTTTGCATGCAAAGAAGAGTTTATTTTAAGATAATTTTAATGTATAGGAACATTTTTACATAAATCATCTATCTTGTGGTGCATTTTTTTCTTAATGATTTAAGTTTTTCAGAATTGATGCTAATTATTACATTATGTTCAATTTTTACAACTAAGTTTAGGAATCTTATTAATCAGGTAACAAACACACAACAAAGGTAAATGGCTATATGTATATTTATATATTGATTGTGCAATTTGCATTTAATTGTATAGATATTATATAATTTGTTGCAAAAATGTTGATGTAAAGATGTCTATAATTGCTTTGCAAGTAAGTTCAAGATCTTATTATTCTTGATATACATAAGATATAAATGTGTATTAATTTTTTTGATATATTATAAAAATATTTTTAATAATAGTGAAAAAAAAAGTTCTAAAAAAAGTCTTAATCACATATGTTTATATATATATATATATATATATGTATATATTCACATTTACATGGTATAATATGATGTTAAAAAAAATTAAAATTATTTTAGTATCCTTTCTTGGTTATTTTGGTACCCCTAATATTACTCATTTGGATTGTTCAAGAACATAAAATGTTTTGTCATCACTTGTCCTCATGTCATCCACTCTCAAAAAACTCTAAAGAATACCAAAATAGTCAAAGTAAGATATTATATTAACCAAGGAGAAACACCTAAATATCCATGCTCTAAAAAAGAAAAAGTAAAAGTAAAAGTAAATAGAAGAGAAAAGATTAGTTTACCAACTTACCTAAAATCAACCATTATAGGCGAAAGTGGTTGTTCATCCGAATGGATGAAAAATGGACGTTCATCATTTGTTGTACAGTAGCACCGTCACAGATTTCAGAGGCTGTGGGAAAAGCTCGGGTTCCTTTCGACTGGTGCACTCGGATATGGCGCCGTGCGGCCTCGCAAACTGCAATCAGGGACTCCGTGCGAGTACAGATATCGCGTACTTGTTGTGTCACGATCCAGGAACGTTGAAAGCCCTGGCACTTGCTGTACAGTCTGCGTTGTCAAGGAGGAGGGCAAGGGACGGCCCGACCTCTACTCGCAAGCCTATTCAACTCTCACTTTCCCCCGTCGCTTTGGCTTCTTTTTGGACCTACGTTACGTTTTTCCGCAGATACTGACGATGGGAGCTCAGAATCATGCAGCCTGGGCGAACCGCACGGGCTGCTTGTCTCACTCCGGAGCGGCTAGCTGGGAATGCAAGGCGGCCACGAAGGCAAAGCTGGTGATGAGCAGTCATTCGGGTGCTCTGAAGCCGTTGCAATTTCCCAAGACGTCGTCGTCTTCTTCGTTATCGCGAATTACCACAATACAACCGCAATTCTCATCTCAACAATGGAAAACGTCGAGTAAAGTCGCATTTATGCTCTTGTTGAGAGGTTGATTTTCCTTCTTTTTTGCATCAAATTGATCGTTCAGCGTAGGGCCGTTTCTTAGCTAGAGAAGTGTCAGTCCGTTCACACGGTGTGTACGATTAACCTTCTCTTTCAATATTCGGAATGGCTACGATTAGGTGGAACAGCAGCACAGGGATGCGTCGGCAATTGTAACCTCCGCTCACCTGGAAATCTGTGATCCATTCTTATTCAAAACCTTTGCTCCCTATTGTTGGGCAAATTAGAGTGTGATAAACATAGTATACCACGACCTGGACGTGTGCGTAGTTGGCAGCTGCGGCCTTGCTCCTTGCATTTGATCAAAACTGGCTGGTACTGGAAAGTAATATATAAGAATTTGATATAATTCGTTATGACTGACTGCGATAAGCTTGCGGTTGGATCCAACTGAACTCGGGGTCGTACATACATTGTCGGCAAATTTGATATCGTATATTTGAAGAATCTACTGACTACTTTTGTCTTCAGACTTGCGCTATTCACTCCACTTCCATTGTATTGAAGAATGTGGTCCATGACCAAGAGTATAGCGCCGTGTTTATCTTAGTTGTTTCATCCTAACCACCGTCCTAGTCCCAAAGCCACTATCTGTGGTTGGGCGAAGGTACCAGGAAATTAAGAGTTACTAAAGTCACTCTGAAGGAGAGTAACCCTCTGCCATTGTCGGAAAGCTTGCAGGCGCGCTTCGAAGATGTTTTGAATGTTCATTTATTTATCCTTCCATTCTTTCCCCCTATATATCTATTTATCCACATTTCATTGTTATTAATTGTATGGCTGGCAGAGCGAACATTTCTCAGGTGTTCCCATGAAACATCAGTTCAGGTAGGCAGCGACGTAGTCGTGGATGATGTGAACGATTCGCTGAAAAGGATGCGGGAACTAGTGGACATTGCAGGAGGGAAGTCAGAGGTGGTTCCTAATCCTTCTTTAAATAAATAATTTTATTTATTCCTCGCAAGTTTGACAGTTATTTATATACATTCCACTACCATTGTGCACATTGCACGATGTTCCGTGAAGCTGACTTCTGCCTGACTATGTCAACTGGAGTGAGAGCTTAGTCCATACTCTTGAACATCTAGTTGATTTCAAGGCCGTTTGTACCTTATGCGCAGGGAGTTGATGATGCATCTTTGACGCGGTTTTTAGTAGGATTTTCTATGGATGTAGAGGTGGCGGCCAAGGCATTTGCAAAGCACCAGGAGTGGGAAGCATTCATCAAGCCAAGGGGCTTCATTTCAGAAACGGAAATTCCAAATGAACTGAATGCAAAGAAGTCGTACTTGCAAGGAAGAGATAAGCAGGGGCGCCCCATCAGTGTGATTCTTGCGCGGAACCATTTCAACAACAAGGATGTTGACGAATTTCGACGTATGTCATCCAGGATGCATGTAATTCACCAGAATAATTATGGACCAAGAGAGGGAGAGAAAAAAAACCTTCTCACCGTGTGTTGAGTGTGGCTTGGTTGCAAAATGCCATGGTACCATACAAGAACTGGGATGTTAATTGCTGTATCGCTTTTCTGCTGTATGTCTAAAGCTGACAGCTGTTCGTGACAAGAATCTTTCTTCCGCTTTATAATTTTTTGATCATGTGTGGTGAGACGTTTTTCCCCTTCATTGGTGCCATATGAGAAGACTGAACAAGTGTTCTTTCACTGCAGGTTTTATTGTTTATTCGATGGATAAAATTCTTGCATCGTAAGGTCACTTACTGAAGTTAACTAAGCGTTTCTGAAATGCACGTCTTTTCTACGAGGATAACAAATGGTGACCAATCATTGTTTCTCGTTGTAATGTCTTAACAATTTCCTCCCAGCGATGTTTTCTTTAGTTTCAAACTAAGACCTTTTAGATGTTCTGACACAGGTCGTCGACAGATGGGAAACTAAATGTAATTATTGATCTCAAGGGACTTGGATTGAAAAACTTGGACTCCAAAGCCTTCATAGAAGGTTTTGACATCTACCAGGTGAGTTCAGAACTTTCAAATGTTGTCATTTCTTGCATGTACCTGATTGTTTTAGCTTGTTCAGAGGATCATATCGGCTCTTTCCTGTCTTCTAACTTGAATTACGTACTTTGTGCAGTCACACTATCCAGAGCGTATCGAGAAATTTTACATGGTCAATGCGCCTTTCATTTTCAACGGTCTTTGGAAAGTGGTGTCTCCATTCATCAGCGAAATAACTCGCAAAAAGGTACGGTGGCCGTCCTTGTTGATTAATTCCCAAGGTGAGCTTGTTGGATATAAATTTGCGCTATTCTAATCATACGATGCTTTGTTCCAGATTGAGTTTGTTTCGAACAAGAAGGTTGAGGAAGTATTGCTTACTGTGATTGACGCTAACCAACTGCCAGTGGAATATGGAGGGAAAGCGGAGTTAGTGCTCCTTCAGGATGCTGTTGTTCCTGGCTGGCCTCCTGTGATCCTGTGAAACAGGATGTTGTCTTATAGGATTCACATCCTACCTGGACTAATAAGAAGTTTTGAATCTTAATTCTTTTGGATTAAATAGAATTGAGATTTGCATATTTTTCTATCTTGTAAGATACTTCTCTAAAATTTGATCATGATTTTTTTTAAAGTCTTATTTTTATTCTTTCACAAATTAAAGACATTGTTGACAACTTAAAGAGTTTTATTAATTTCTTTCATAGTGGATAGTTTGTATTATGGTCTAATTTGGAAATATCAATTTTTTACATAAAGGAGTATTAAAATTTGAAGTATGAACTTTGAAAGTTTGATGTTAAGATTTAAGACTATTTTGTTCTTTCTTAACTTTTCATTTATATGTTATTAAAAATAGTATCAAAATGGCTTGTACATTTCTAATCTCTCATAAATTATTTTTTAATATTTTTATTTTTAATTTTATTTTATAATTCAAAAGTGTAATTAGTTATAATAAAACTCATAAAAGATAATAGGAAAGTAAAAATTCAAAAAGTGATGGAAAGAGGGAAAAAAAAAAGTTTTGGTTATGATTCAGATATTTCTTGAAGAAAATAAAAGTAAATGGGAAGAAGTAAGAGATATTTTAAAATTCTCATGGCAAAAAATTTGGTTTAGTAAAGAGTTTTCAGTGTTGCATAAAATATGGATGAAATATAACAAGTATTGTATAACACATCTTGGACATTGTATATCGTCTCAATATAGAAGACAAAGTTAAAATTTTGTTGAGCATCCTACCAAATAGTGAGTATTATAAGTTCATATATATATATATATATATATATATGCACATACAATATTAAATTACAGTTATAATTTGATAGCAATTAGAAAAAATGAACCAATATCTTGAAAAAATCCAATAAAAAAATGATATTTTCCTATAATATAGATAAGGAGATATAAGACATAATCACTCTTTAAGAAAACAATCATAGTCTTACTTTGCCCCTATTGAATAGAATATATATATACATATATATATACAAGTCTTTTCTATTGCATGCACAAATTATACTTATAAAGAGATCTAAATTTAGGATCTCACCAAAACAAGCACTTTTCATGTATATATTATATTATATTATTTTTCTTCATTTAATGTTATCATCTACCTAGCCTACAAAAAAATACTAATTATGTAATATTCATCATCATTTGTTTCTTTCAAAACCAACCTTCTATGTAAGATTGACAATTTTTTTTAATCAAAGCTCATCATTCTTCTTACTTTAAATTAAAAGTAAAAAGAGGAGCAAAAGCACTAGCTTTTTTATTTGTCCACTTACACCTTCAAAAATTATGTTTTCTAACCAATTATCATGGTTTTTGACCACCTACTATATATATATATATATATATATATATATATATATATAAACCACAAAATATTAGATATTATGTTCTTATACATTGTATGTTAGAACACATTTTAATTTTGTTAAAAAAATCAATATAATAAATGACTTATGAAAAGATAAAATCTTAAATATAAAAATATGGTTATTAAAATAACTTATTTCTATCATATGTGGTTTTAAAAAAAATTATTTTTTCAAAATACAAATGTATTTTGGATATTTAATATTTCATAACTAATATTTCTTGCTTATTTTAAAATAATTGCTAGAATGGAAGTTATTCCTAGGTTGTAAATTAGTAACTTCATTTTTTGCATAATTTCTTTAAAAAAAAAAGAAAAAGAAAAAAGAAAAAAGAGTTTAAATTCTATGATTCAAGTTAAGAATTTTCAGCCTTCTAGATCTTCCATTCTTTAAGATGAAGTACAAATCAGCTTGTGCAAGGGCCTTCATAATTCAGCAAGTTTGTGAAGATAAGTCGCCACTTTTCATGCATTCTATAGAACATACTGTAATAGTTAGCCAAGGATATGTTACTCTACTTGTTTTGGAGCATAATTTTTATAATCAATCATAAGTTGCAAATTTCTACATAATTCAATCCTCTTTCGCATCTTACACTCATTTTTACAACATATTTATGACCCTCAAGAGATTAAAAGCTTTGATACTTTTACAGTTTATACATGATGTCATTGTAAACAACAAACTATCTTACATGAAGAGACCTTTCTTGGTGAGTCAAACTCACTACTAGTTTCAACACATCCGATTTTGAATAAAAAGAATAGATAATCCACACATTTTATCATAACCGAATTCATAACTCCAATGTTATTTGTAGAGTAAACGTGTAAGTTTGATAAGATAGGAGACTTCACCACAGATGTAAATCAAAAGAAGTTGCCCTTGAACTCAACAGGATCTACCAGCACACTTCAAAAAATGAAACAATTCATCCATTCCTGCAAAATAATATAAGGCAAAGGTGACATATTTCAACTGAAGATCACATCCTACATAGGGTCATCACCACATTAAAGTCGTCAACAATTTAAGTGAGAAAAAATCCAAAATCAGCAAACAAGAAACACATGCATGCAACATTTTAGTCACTTTGGTACTTCCAAAGGTATCAATGATTGTGAAGTAAAAAAGGTAGAAAGAGACAAACAAAAAACCCTCCTGCCTTTACTATACATATCTTAGGCACCCTACATCTCCTACATGCTCTTTTGTTACTCAAATCACGTAGAAACAATAAAATTTCATGACCCTACATAAATTATAAAACCTCACATAATTTATAAAATTCTCATCCATTGAAGTTGTAAATTAAACAAGATACATTAATACAATGACTTTACTTTTAAAATAATCAAAACTACCAAACTGTTAGTTTATGTGAAATACACATGCATTAAAGTTTTAATATTATTACATAATGGTAATTCAATGTAGTAACTTTTCCATATCTTGTTATCCAAATCTATCAATCTAGACAAATGTGTTTGGCTCAGTAATGGAGCAGACAATGCAGGAAATGATGTGGTGATGTACCTTTGGACATACACAACTCTTATGAAATGATTAACACAAAAGAGCTTCCAATAAAACTTCTACTAATAAAACAACACATGATGTCATATCAGATAACTTCAATTCGGTGGAATGAAAACTGAATCGAGTTACTTTACTCCAAGAAAAAAATAACAATAAAAAAACAAGAAATAAATATAGAGTGAACTCCAACACCCAATGAGAACGACAATGACAACCGTCAGGGTATTACTCTTGCTACATCGATGACCTCAGATAAAGATACATCTGTAGTTTCTTAACAAAAAATAACTCCAGAGTCACAACCCACAGAACAATAAAAAATTATGAGATATATCCACGTATTTAAATATAAAGCTCAATTGCTTGACAAATATAGGTATGTACATAGACATAATTTTATTCAGAACAATGAATTTCTGATGTACAAGACTAAACTACCAAGACCATCTTAGAGGGACATGGTCAACCTACACCTGAAAAATGGATTACCATCGTACAGGAAGCAACAAACCAGCTTCAAGAAGACTTGGGCAATGACTGAATAAAACCGTTATATGACATCTCCAGATCAAAGGACAACTGTCTTGCCTGTTCTTGAGTAAGTTCTTCAGATGCACTCATTCTGTTCAATCTTGCTATCCACTCCTTCACCTTCACCTTCCCCACAAAATCGGGGGACAACTGTGGAACCTTGCTCAATGCCAGAATCAGGTCGTTCATCATAGGGTGAACCTGAATCATACACACAAGTTTGTGTGAACATGATGCATCTCAGGTCTCTATCAAATATCCGGCATTTTCTGACACCGGGGACTACTTAGTTAATTACAGCTACACAAACTTCTTCTTACAGTCTAGAGAACATTATTTCATTGTGGCTAAAGAAAATAGCCCTAAGTTGAAGGGTATCAAATATCTGATAGCCAACTAGCAGGCGTTAGCATACACTGAAAATCGCGAATCACAAATCCTCAACGAGGCCACCCTCTTCGTTAAAAGAAGTACCAGCAAGTTGTGAAATAAACAGTCACTCAAGTAGGATCTATGTTATCTACCCTTTTGTGGTGGAAATATTAGCAACGTAGGTTGACTTCATGGTATCGGTAAAGCACATAAAAAATGTCGAGTACGTAAACTCATTACCCTTCTTGATTTGCGACCCGGAGTAATTTACATTCAATAAGACGAACGGCTCTGTTGGTCGGTAATTTAGGTCTAGTGATCAATAAAGAAAAGGAAGCCTGAATTGAGTGGCAAAATTCAGCTAGTCGCTAATTAAGGCTAAAAAGTCACTGTTACGACTCGTCAACTACCTCACAATGCTGACAGAAGACCCCTAAACATTGCATATTAGTCTGATTGTTGCACAGACTACCCAGAAAATAACGTCGTCGAAAGAATTTTTCGAGTACCCGATAAGAGAAGCACAACATGACAACTCAAAAAAATTTAGAGCTTACCTACACGAAGTCTACAAACACCTAAAACAATAACAGAAATTATATTAGGAAGGCTAAGGATTTTATGAGCGTTTTTTACCTGGTCAACAGCAAGCATATTTAGTTTCAACGCATCCATGGAGGTGATAAAATACTGCACACACTCTGCGACGGCAGATGCAGTGCCAGCATCCGAGGACGTGCTTTTGTGCTCAACAGTAGCAGGAACTCCCGAGACCAACAGCCGGTTGAGAGCTGCGGGGCAATCCATCTTGTACGTTTCAGCGAACTGTTCCACATCTGGCACGATATCCTTCAACGCCGTTTTCAATGTCCGAAACTGGGCGATCAACTTGGAGCACGCTGGTTCGTACTCCTTCGCGCTCACAACGTCCCGAACATATGCCTTCTCTAGCTTCTCCGTTGTCTTAATGATTGCGAACAAATCCGCGAAGTTATCGTACATCTCTCTCTCCCGCTTGTCGTGCCATAGCCGCACTTCCCGCTGTTCCGCATACGCCATCAAACCCCACGAACCAAACACACCCTGCTTCCTCCTCGGAACACTCCAACTCTCCAGAAAATTCGACTCCAGACAGCTTCAAACGAACACCGACACACCAGCATACAAGCTCCCCGCACAATCTGAATCTCTACGCTCTTCACAATATGCAACCCTTGCTTGCGCTCGAAGCACTAGAGCTGATCTAAATCAGAGCCAACGGAGCGAATCACCTCGAAAGGCAATTTCGTCGATATGTGTGCGGGTTTCGAGGAGGAAGAGAGGCAGTCGCGCGGGCCCCGTCATTTATTGCGCGGGGCACCCGTGATTCAAATGGTGAGATCGCCAACGCTTAGTTGACAAGGAAAGGCTTTTAGGTCATAGTTTCCCTTCAGCGAAACAAGCTTTGGAAAGAACGTTCCAACATCGAACATGGGGTACAATAAAGACATAACGACATTAACATTATTAATTTGGTTTTTAGTTAATGTAAATCTTTAATCAAATCAATTAAATCTTTACAAATGCATATACATCTTGCTCCTCAACAACCAACCTCTATTGATAGTAAATCTTATCAAAATCATAAATGATTTATGTATGACTCATCCAAATTAAATATTTTATTTTAATGTTAAACAAATTTTATTTATAAGCTCATGTTTATTATTATTATTATTATATACACTTACCATTGGATTGTATTGTAGAAGCATGAATACCATTTATACTCGACAATTAATGATTATAATGTGTATATTGGAAAAAAATTAAACATATTGTGCATCATTGTGATATTATGATAATGGGAACACTAAGATGTTATATGTATTGTCAAGGTCATATAACATGTAAATAAGCTTTGGAAGGTTCTAAGAATCTCTTCTTCAAGCATAGTGCTTTAGTTGTTGGTTTAAAGAAAAAGTTTGTATTGTATTGGCAACAAATCCTATTTGCACATTAAATTAGGTGGAAAGATTATTTGATTATTTAATTGAATAAAAATTGGACTAAGATATTGGACTTAAAAAAAAATGATAATATGTAAATAAGTAAATATGAAAAAAATTGAATTAGGCTATAAGTTTGTCATTTAATTGAAAAAGCTTCATTTTCTTTTTGCTTGCAAGTAAGAATAGAAAAGCAAATACTAAGGCAAGTTTTAGAAACGTATTTTTTTTTTCTTTCTTTTCCCTTCTTCTTTTTTCTTTGTTATTATACTATTTTTTAGTTACTAAATTATAGTTTTATTATTCTATTTTTTTTTCTATTTCAAATTATCTATAGAAGTTGCCACATTGATTTCTTAATCAAATCAAGTATATCATTTAGTAATGTTACATCTTGGTAGTAGAAGATCTTTTTTCATTTACTTTTTCAATGTATCAAATTCAAATAGACCTAGAGCAATAGACAAAGACAATATTATATCTCTTAATCTTAATGCAATGCTCAAAATATTTTTGATATTGGAGAATCTTAATAAGATTAGTTACAAGGGATATATTTTTTTAAAAAAATTCTATGATTCATTCAAAAAGATTTTCAATAATCTTTTAAACCTAAAAATCAACAATTTAGGTGCTTGTTCTTAATCTCACGATGAATAGACTAAAAAAGAGCCTACGAATTTGCCATAATTCATTGGTTTAACTTCCTACCACTAGAATTGTGGAGCTTGATAATAAAGATTGGAAGTTATATCTTTTTATTTATACATGTGTCATTTTTTTTTGAGAATAAAAAAAGAATAAAAATATTAAAAAAAAAATGAAAGAGGTGATAGAAACCAAAAAAAAATGATAGAAAAAATATTAATAGAAATAACATTTGAAGTAGTTAGGATCAATCCAATTCTTCTCAAGTATAGTATCAATAGGAAAGTACAAACTTTAAACCTCTACATACAATTTTTAAGACCACTAATCTGTGGTTGACTTAGAAAGGAGTCTAATTGAGAAGGAGAAGATATATTAAATACTAAAAGGTATATCAAAGAAATTTCCGCTTATTGAATATAATTTGTTTGTAAAAAGATTATTTAAGCTAGAATCTTTTTAGTTTAAATTTTGTAGGATGTGATTTTGCTTATTTTTTAAGAAAGTATTAGAACCAATGTTTTGTGCCATGTATGTCCAAATATATGTATAGCTAAATAAGGTTTTGCCAAAGATTCTAATTAAGCAATCTAAAAATAAGACTATAATATTCAAGTGAATAATATTAAAAATATTTTTGTATTGTAATACATCACAATTAAAAGAATAAGTAAAAGAGTAGACAAAGATAAAAATATAAAATAAGTAATTAATTAAAATATATGTATATATATATTACTGGAAATCCATAACTAATATATTAAATATAATTAAATATAATTAATAATTTTATGCTATTATTTTTATAAAAAAAATACTTCTACTTATTTTGTAAATCCATAAATGGAATAAGATAGAATTGAATAGATACAAAACCAATAAAATTAGATTTAATTTGAAATTATATATTTTTTTATATGATATTTATTATAAAAAGGTTAGATTGATACTTGAAAAGGATTATTTATAAGACAATGTTGAAATCAATGTTGAAATATGACTATGAAGCTTGAAGTCTTCTAATCATGCAAAAATAATAATTTGTGAGAAGCTAATATATGGAACTATTCTAAATCCAAGTAGAATTTAAAAGATTTTTTTTCAAAGAAGACACATTAGATTTTCATGGCATAGTTAAAAAGATAGAATCAGAGTATTAGTAGCTCTAAATATATTTTATATTAGAATTATATGATAGGACAATGATTAAAAATCATAATATATAATTAAAATTGATGTAACTATATTTAATCACCTTCTTATAGATTTTATAATTCAATTTATACCATCTACAACTTAAAGATTTTATTACAAATTCAACTCTTATTATCTCAAAGATTTAATAGTTTAAGACATGATATCTTAGATAAAAGATTCATATAAATTTAGAAGTTAATTTTTAGATAAAATAAAAAAATAGTAATTTTTTACAAAGTATTATCTTAAAAAAACTAATTCCTTAAAAATTCACAAGTATTAGAATATAAAGACAAAAAAAAGTTGGCTTTTGTGACTTTACAAAAAAAATTATAAAATCAATTGGCACAAAAAGAATTAAATATGTCCAAGAATAAGAAAAAAAATTCAATGATTGAATAGAAGAAAGCTACAAAATTAAAATATTTATAAAATAGAAATTGAAAGTAAAAAAAGATATCAAATTTATTTTTAAATATAAAAAGAAATGACTTTAAAATTATAAATATATATAATTTTATAATTATAAAACCAATAAGTATTATGGATATATATATTAATCCCAATAGTTACTTATATAATTAAGTAAAATTAGGTAAATATAGATTAATTTCATGAAATCTTCTAGAGAAGTTTCTTAGAAGCTTTATAAACGCAGTTTTGATTTTAGATGTATTTATAGGATAGAAACTTAGCCAACAAGTTAACCATGTGTTGGTAGCTTGTGGAACAAGTTAATTCCATGTAGTAGCTTGTAGAACAAGCTAACTATGTGGTGCATACATGGATAACTTGCCTTCCAAGTTAAGACATGTAGTTAATAAAGCCAACATGATTTGGAGGTCCTATAGGACATTGCCTTGTAACTCCTAGTTAAGAGTATATATGGAGGCAAGAGTGAAGCCTTCTTCACTCTTATCAATGTCTTTTTAGTCCATAGTCTTATTCTAAGACTTTCTAATCTTCTTGTCTTTAGCAATAATCATTCTAATTTAATAATATATCATCTTTGAGTGACTTTCTAGTTCTTTTTAGTAATGCAAGAGTGCATTCAAGATTTTCTTTCTTTGAGATTCATATCCATGATAGTTTGACAAGAGTACTAACATACTTTTTTTGTTGTATTTTAGAAGTGAGTGAATTACTTCACTTCTATTTTTATATTTTAAAGGTTATAAACTATCTATCTTTAAATAATTTTTTTTTTTTTTTCTAACACTAATCTTTTTCTTGAAGAGAGTGAATCACCCCTCTTTGTGAAATTTTTTTATTAGTGGTTACAGATTACCTTCCTTTAATTTAACTTTTTGGATTTATTTGAGTTGTCTATGGAAGGAAAGATTATAGATACTACTCCTAACAACAACAAGAATAGATTTGTAACTATTGCAGATCTTCATGAGCTTCTCAACACTCTTAGGGCAGAAATTTCATGTATTACCAATGTCATCTATAAGAGCAAATGGGAAAAAATGATAAACATACTTCAATTATATTTTCTACATACTCCAATCTTTGTTCTCTTCAAAGTTAGTTGATGGACCCTCTCAGCCATCAATAGTGTCCTATACCAAATCATGAAGACCACCTTGTTATTTGATCATTATTGACGCCTTCATAATTTCCTTCAAATAAAATATTTGGAACACCGTTAGGAGTTGTTCCTACCTCTAATAAAATTACCAAACATCAGGAGTCTCTTCTAGGGTTGTGATATCAAACACGTTGTATGTCACCATTTATTCAAGGAAAAATATGTCTTTCTTGAGGATCTTCATCTCCATTGTGTCGTCTTGGAGGTTGTGACAATCAAAATCTCTCATTTGATAGGTCAGCAAATAAACACTCTTCAGTCGAATCCATTGGTTGTTGGTTCTCTATTTTTTTAGCATCACAAATATAAAGAAGCTACAAACAAGGATTGAAAGTAGAATATTATCTTGCGTAGATCTTGTTTCTTTTATAGAGAAGGTCTTCATGTTGATTTTGATGGATATTGTTGATGAAAAGCCTCTACCTTCTTTGTTGCATTTGTAAGATTCTTTACTAGCTCCCATGTATATTCTTTAATATTATATTCGTACCAATGAACAAGATATTTTAACTTATTTTGGCACTGCCTTGAGTCTAAGACTTCTTCATTTTCTAATTCTTTATTATTGTCTACTTCTATAAGAGGAGGTGGTACTTGTCTTCTTCTTGATATATCTATTTTCGTATATGGTTCAAGAAGAGACACGTAAAATACTAGATGGATTTTTATTGACTCTGATAGATATAAATGATATGCAACTGGATTGATTTGTGCAAAAATAGAAAATGGTCTAAGCCTACGATAATCCAACTTGTCTCAAGGACGAATAGTCTTGATATTGTGACAAAATAACCATACCTTATCATCCATGTGGAATGCTAGTTGTTCCTTTTAATAGATATTTACATTGATC